ATACAATGACTCAGTATATTCCTTCCATCTTCTTTTAATACTTCCTGGATAATTTAATATTCTGCCTAAAGCATCCTTGATTATAGCTGTTTATAGGTTGTTATTAAACCAGGCTGTGCCTTGGAGGCAAAGATTCTGAGGCTTCGTCTGACATACTTTGGACATGTTTTAAGGAGGGACCAGTCCTTGGAGAGTAATGTCATGCTTGGGAGGGTGAAGGGACAGCGCAGGAGGGGAAGGCCCTCTATGAGGTGGATTGATTCAGTGACTAGGGTAATCTGGATGGGTGTATCAGAGACAGTGTGACTGGCACAAGACAGGGCAAAGTTTAGGGCTATTGTACATAGGGTCGCTATGAATCAAAAGCGACTCGATGGCACATAACAACAACATGAGTTGTAGTCAACTTGATAGCATCTAACAACATCTGTAGAAAGAAACAGTAGTAAAGTGTAACATTTATCAGTCAGAGCAAGGCCAGGGTTCAACAGTGGGACAGACCATCAACTGTTCCTTAAGTAAGCTCAAAATGAAGCTGAGGAAAAGTAAACCAAGTTCACGAGAGCCAAAATAAGACCTTGAGTCTATCCCACCTGAATTTAAAACCTTCTCAAGAACAGATGTGATGCACTGAACACTAAGGAACAAATCGGCTGTGGAATGGCATGAAGAATAACATACATCAAGGAAGCAAAAGGTCATTAAAAAGACTGGAAAGAAAGACAAGACCAGAATGGATGGATGTCAGAAGAGACTCTGAAACTTGCTCTTGAACAGAGTGTAGCTAAAATAGAAGGAAGCCGTGATAAGACGAGAGTAATGACACCTAGTAGGAGCCAATAAGGAGCTGAAGCAAATGGTGAGGATGGAGCTGGATCAGGCAGGGTTTCAGTCTGTTGTACAGTGTTGCTGTGAATTAGATCAACCTGATGGTTCTTCACAACAGCAACAATAGGAGTCTCTGAGTGGCACAAATGGCTTAGGGAGTACTTGGTTCCTAACAAAAAGGTTGGAGGACTGAAACTTTACGGTGCATTGTTCTGTGAGTCAGAACTGAAGTTTGACTTGGCCGCAGATTGTGGCGAGTGGTTTTTGCTCTGTTTAAATGCCTTTTAGTACTTGAATAGCACTGAGCTTTCATACTCATTATCCTTTAGTGCTCCTTAGAGGCAAGGATGACAGAGCTTGCTCTTTCATTCTTCGGATGTGTAGCTTGTTGTGTTGTTATGTGCCATCAAGTTGCTTGTGACTCATAGCGACCCTATGTACAACAGCCCTATACCCTGCTCTATCTTGTGCCAATCTTAATAGCTGACACAACTACCCTCATTACCACAGTGACTGAATCAGTCCATCTCATCAATGGTCTCGCTCTCTTTCTCTCTCCCTCCACCCTTCCAAGCATGATGTCCCTCTCCAAGGACTGGTCCCTCCTTGCAACATGCACAAAATATGTCAGTATGTCCTCTTGGCAGTCCATGGTATACTCAATACTCTTCTCCAGTACCATAGCTCAAAGGCATCAATTCTCCAACTATCATCCCTAGTCATTGTCCAGCTTTCTGATGCATAACAAGTAACTGCAAAGACATGTAGCTAGATGAGGCTATGCCTTGGAAAGGGACATCGTGCTTGGAAAGATAAAGGGTCAACGAAGGAGGAGAAGACCTCCAATGGGTTGAACTGACATGGTGATTTCAGCAGTGGGTTCTAGTATCAGAAATGGAGAAGATGGCAGAAGACAGGGCCATTTTCAGGCTGGCTGTTCATAAGTTTGCTGTGAGTTGTACTCGATGGCACCTAGAGGAGCAAATGGGGGGGGAGTTTGTGCAGGGAGAAGGGTGCAACAATGAATGAATGGAATCCCAAAATCTCTGTAGATGTTCATTGAAATGAAAAATAAACAACCTAAATAAAAAAAAAAGAAGTAAAAAAGAAAAAGTCTAGAAGTAAAATGTCTAATTCTAGGGTGAGAAGGTCATTTCATGATGTTAAAGGTTGTCATTCATCAGGAAGATAGAAGCACTTGCATCTGTTTACATATAATAATGAAAAAAATCTGGTTCAAAAAAAAAAGTGTTAAAAAGTGTTGTTAAACATTTTAACTCCAAAGCTCTTTGCAGGACATGGATCATAGAGTGGGATGAGAGAAGAGGCTGGCTGGTATTTCATACACTTTATTAGTAAGAAGAAGTACTTACCATGGCCGTATCTATGATCCACTTCTTCAGTGTAAGGATAAACCAAGAAGACAAGAATCTTACATCGAATGTTAAGGGAGACAACAGACCAACCACTGCTACCCTCACCACCCTTCCAACTCGAGTCTTCCTGTCTAATGGAGAGAAGGCCTGACTACAGAGACATAACTGTATGACTGCGAAAGATTCTGCCAGACCATGTCTTATCGGGAAAGATAAAAATGGCTGTGTCAAAGAAACATTTGCTTAGAGTTCAAACGGACAGAAGCAGGTTATGGAAGAAAAAAGAGAAATAAACCTGTGGATTGTTCTTCAGTTTGGGGGAAGTTCCAAACAGCTTTAACTGTCCACTTAATTGATCCCTGATCATGCAGATATTTCCAATTTAATGTTGAAATTCAAAGAGAAGTCTAATATCATAGAGTAGGATTGCTCTGGAAATGTGGTTAAAGGGAAGGAGGTCTGTTTGCAGACTCTTCCCCTTCCTTACGCTGTCACTTCACTGCGACCAGGAGAAGCAGTCCAGAGGCCCAATGATCCACAGCAACCTCAAGACTCTCTTAAAGCACACGTTGTGAGATATCGCCATTATCATACTTCAAATACCTGGGGGACATCTTGGAGGAGAGAAAAATGTTACAAACAGATGTGGACATTGCTGATCTCAGCAGAGGGTCCTTCTACATTTAATGTTCAGCTGTGAGATGCTATGTCCACATTCACTTGGTCTATTAGTGAATTATAGCTCTGGGGAGGGAAAGAGGGCTGAAGACCCCAAGAGACTAATGCTTCCTGCCCTCCTGCCCCCTGCCTTTCACCTGAGCCCCGTGTCCTTGTGGGAAAGGAGCTCCCTGGTCCTGGAGAGGAGGCTGCTGGGTAGGAACTGCAGTGAGAACACCATGGTCTATGTAGGTATATCTGCTTTCATTATGGCTTACATTTGGGATATCCCCCCCTTTTATCTAAAACTATCTCTGGTGGTGTCTATAGGAAGCTCCAGAAGGAGTTGAATTCCTAAGCCAAAGTTGGTGCCTCTCTGGTGGTTCAAATCCACCAGCAGCTCCATGGAGAAAGATGAGCACGGTACTTAACATGCCACTTAACAGCATCAGAAAGTAGTTCTGACTCAACATCAATAAAAGAGCTTTATCTAAAGAATTCTATTCAGTAATGCCAGAGCTAGTAAACTGTTAGGTGCCATGGAGTCCACTATGATTCACAGGGATCCTAAGAACAACAGATCTGAATCTTGCCCTAGCCTAGCCCATCCCTAGCACCTCTGCTATGCTCCAGCCCGCTGTTACAGTCACTGTTGAAAACAGTGCAGCCTAATTTCAGATTCTCAGAGCCTGAAAGGATACACAACAAGGTATGGAGCAGCCTGTTTTACATTCCCATTAAAATGAAAGACACAGAGGAGGAGGATGATATCTGCAAGAGGAAGTGTCCATGTTAGCAGGAGTGGGTGCAGAGCTGGGGTGCAGGCATGCTGGGCCCAAAGGGGTGCTTACCTTGTGCTATGAGAATGGGGTACTCCAGGTAGGTCAGCAGTGGGTAGCCATAGTAATGCTGGTACCTGAGGAACACCAGGAATCTGGAAAAGCACATGAACAGATGTTGACACATCGCACCCCAGCATACAGGTCTATTTTCAAAATCTTGAACTGGTGGTGTGGGAGCCTGGAACTGTCAAGGAGGAAGTTTAAGATCGAAAAAGATGTAGCACTACTCTCACAATCTCTATGAATTTTTGAAGATCCAAGGAACTGCTGGGTACTGTACAAGGAGGGCAATAAACAATCATTATCAACAAAGCACAAGAAAAGAACATCCTATTTTGTGTAGAGCAAAAACAAAACCAAGGGAGACCGCCAGGAGATAGACTGACAGCAGCCTCAGACAGGAAGATGGTGCACATTAACAGAGGGTGACACCCTGGACCGGGCAATGTTTCATTCTGTTACACAAAAGCTGTACCCCACTCAACAGCAACTAAGAAGAACATACTACCATCAACTCCAGGTGGGCTCTGGTGGCGTAGGCTGTAGGGAGCTGCTTACTCAAGAGACTGAGCTTCTCTGGTTTGAATCCACTAGCAGCTGCAAAGGAGAAAGATGAGCAATCTCCTCCTGTGCAGTTAATTCACTGGCTTGGAAATTGGACAGAAGGTCAGCCGTGAGAGAGAAGCGCGGGGAGAGATCACCAACTCCCTAATAGAATCCTTTGCAAATGATTTTTAAAGAAGCCACCTTGCATGAGGAAGATCCTAAGTGGTGGTGACTTACAGACTCATATCTAATTGTCTCCAAAGCTGGAGCCCTGTCCTGGGCCAATGCCTTTCAGCAAGAGGGACATACTGCCTGGTCACTGTGCACAGAGACCAAGAGAGATCCCAGGGGAGCTGAAAGATCACCCAAACGGCTCTTGTAGGGTGGGGAGGCCAGAAATGGAAGAAAGCCTTGGAAGACTCCAGAACCCACCCCAACTCCCTCCTCCCTGAGAACTCAACACAAACTCATTCTTGCACCCAACCCTCCCTCAGAACTCAACACAAACTTGTGGCAATGAAGTCTAAATGATGCAGAGGCTGTAAAATGCAGAGGAAAGACTGCCCAGCTTTCACTTTCAGTCTATTTGAACTGCCAGGAGGTTAGCTGTGCAACTCCCTACCTTCCTCAGGACCCAGGGCTTATCTCCTCTGCTTTGCTCTGGGATGTCTTGTTCCTGCCTCGGCCCGGCACCTCAGCTGTACATGTCTTCAACAAGGAAGGAGAGCTCCAGCTTTGGAAAGGAACCTCCACCCTCTTGGTGGATCCCTTGCTTTTCCCCCGGGGTAAATATGAGCTGTCCATCTATCAATTTGAACCTAACAACTATAATGCTCGAAATCCTAGAACCTTAGTGGTGCATGGATAAAGCAATAAAAATGTGAGCCAAAAGGTCAGAAGTTTGACCACCAGCCACTCTGTAGGAGGAAGATGTGGCCACCTGCTTCCATAAAGCTTCACAGTCTTAGAAACCCTATGTGGTCTCTGTGAGTCAGAATTGAGTCCATGGCAACAGGTTTGGGTTAATATTCCAAGTAAGGAAACAGTGCAAAACATGCTTTAACAAAGAAGGCAACAGGCCAGGTCAAATTGTGTCTCCCTGGGATCATGTTCCTGGCTTAGTTACAGTGGAGCAGAAAGATGGAGTCTCAGGCCATCCTCGGTGGGGGCAGGCAGGGTGGGGCTCTGCTCCCAGCGTCATCCTGGCACGAGCTTCTCAGGGGCCCAGGCTCACATCCGTTCTTTGGCCTCCCTTGGCAGGCTCCGCTACACTGACCAGCTGCTCTTCCCTGGGACCCTGTGTGTGGTCAGCAGCTGGGAAATCTAACACTTCCCGCAAGACCGCCAGGCTCTCTAGGGGCTGTGTGGGAGGCCATCACCCATTTCAGAAGACAGGCATTTCTGTCCAGCTCCTGCTCAGCCTCCTGATGCCCTGGAGGGTAGGAAGGGTGCATCCCACCTGCTGAGAATTCACCAGCTGAGAGACATGAGAGAAACACGTCTGAGAGCTGTAAGAGGAAGCGGTATGGAACGGGCATTATAGTGGCACACGTGTCCTCCCAAAATTCAGGTCCACCCAGAACTTCAGGGCATGACCTTATATGGAGTTTTTGAGATATATTTAGTTAAGATGAGGTCATGTTAGATTAGGGTTGGACCTAGGGTCCAGGGACTGGGGTCCTTGTAAGAAAGGAGCACACAGCCACACAGGGCGAGTGTCCTTGGATGACAGAGGTGGAGACAGGAGTGACATGTCTACAAGACAAGGAATGCCGTGAGACACAGCAGCTGGTAAAGGGCCCTGGAACAGATTCTCCCTCCAGATTCTTAAAAAGAACCAACCTTTGCTGACAACTTAATTCAAACTTCCGGCCTGCTAAACTACAAAAGAATACATTTCTGTTGTTTTATGCATCAAAATTCACTGCTGGTGAGTCAGAACTGATAGCTGAGCCTCAGAGGCTGTAAAGTGCATGGAAGGAGAGGCCCATCTTTGTCCTGTGAGCCCCTGGTAGATAAAAATCTTCAAAGGGGCCACCTGAGTCAGCAATACAACTCCCTAGGGACTATGCACACCACCACCACCACCACCACCACCACCATCATCATCATTATTATTGTTGTTGTTATGTGCCGTCGAGTCGTTTGCAGCTCATAGCGACCCTATGTACAACATGTACATACATGTGTATACTCCGGCAATAACTTCTGACACGCCTACAGGTACAAAGCCCCAAGGCAGAGTCAAAAATGGTTGGGAGGCGCAAAGGGGAGACTGAGGGACACTCCACCAGCAGAAGGGGGAGCCTGGAAGCCTCGCGGGCACAAGTTGAGGCCAGGCAACACAGAGGCCACTCCGGCAATAGCTTCTCCTTCTCCTTCCCCTTCCCCTTCCTCCTCCTCCCCCTCCTCCTCCTCCTCCTCCTCCT